AAATGAAAAAGTTTAAAAAAAATTAATTTTGGTTCAATTGTGAGGAATAAATGTGTACAAAGAAAAAAATGTGCATGTAAAAAGAGGATATGTGATTATAGTTGTGAATGTGATTATGAAAGAAAAGATAAAAATATATGTAAGTGTTAAATTAATTGAAAGGTTAAATGTTGTTTAAAAAAAATATGTGAACATTGAATATTTGAATGTTATAAGATAAATCAATATGGAAATTCATGAATGTATAATATAAGTGTAATTGGTTATAATGTTAAATATTAAAAAGTCTACATGTAAATTTATTGATATATTATAGGTGTTGAACTAATTAAAATAGGTTCTAAATTTTCTAAATCATCTTACTCAAAGATAATGTGTTAAGAGATTTAATATTTCTAAGTAAACTGTTCACCATAGTAATAAATCCAAAAATAGGACATTGTAAAACGCCATGCAAAATAAAATTTATTTTATGAAAATAACAACAAAAAAAACAAAGATAAATAATTTATGTTTTTTATTCTTATTTTATATACAACCACCCTTATAATAATTGTGATTTTAAACTGCTAGAATTTGACCAATTTTTAAAAAAACGACTTACTCAATATTTTAGTCAGAAAGGTTTTGCCTAAGCCGAGATTACCGATAATTGATATCCAAAACCTTCATGATGCCATCTGTGAACTTAATCTTTAGGCTGGCGTAAAAAAATTTCTGGATAAAATATATTGAGTTGTTAACGGCTGAAATTGAGCAGCCCTTTTTCAACACTATTACGCTCTTATTTTGTGCAAGTTTATAAATTTAGCTCGTGATTTTGATGAATTAAATAAAAACATTATTTGAAAATGGTTGAATTTAATATTATTTATTATTTGATAAATAGGGCAACTGTCTAAGTTGCTCAAAAATCTTGGTCTAAACGGTGCTCCACGATTAGATAGGCTTAACATTTTTTGCTATATATTTCAATTTTTATATAACTTTCTTAATAGCTACATATAATATAGAAATAATGTATTTTATATGAAATGGTTCCATCATAGACTATTAAAAAAATAAATAAAAACGGCAAATTCTTTGAAAAAAAAACAAAAATTCGCTTCTAATTTTTGAGATTTTTAGCAATTCCCCTATTTTTTTTTTGAAGCAATAGCGCGCCTCTTCCCCAAATTTAGCGACTACACACTGAATATGATATGTATAATAATATTTTACATTTATCTTATATATTACATAGTTTTATTTTATGATGCAATTCACTATGTATAAAGTATAATTATTTAAAAGATAAACTTTACTGAGTGATAATATATGATAAATTTATCAATTCCCTTTAAATAATTACAACATGAATGTATAATATGGTTAAAAAATGAAAGTTCTAACTCATGGCTTCAAGCAACTCTACCTTGTAAATCCGGAGGACTAGACCTAACATCGGCATCAAGTATAGCCCTTGTTCATCTCATCAACCTTATCAGTAAAAATATTACCTCGCAAATTATTACCATCGATAAAGATAATTTATTAGATGAAGCCTTACGTTGTTGGAACATTAATGTCTTACCAAACACCGCCACGCCAGATTCAACGAAACAAAAAGATTGGGATCAAGGATTGGTATATCGTTCCTTAGCTTACCTCAACTTGAGCGATGATCACCAATATATCCCTCCCAACATCTCTTAGTTTCAACAACTCTGGCCATGTATGGTTAGATTCATATCCCAGTAATTTAAATAACCAGCTAATAGATAAGGACGCTTTTCGTTATGCAATCAATTTAAGCTTGGACGTACCTTTCCTAAACCATTATATTTGCAATAAATACAATCTGGCAGATGCGTATGGGAGACACGCTCTCCGCTGTAAATTTATATAAAAAATCAGCCGACATGATGAAATAAATGCAAAAGTAGCTTCTTTTTTAAATTAGGCCAATTTTCCCTGTATTTTAGAACCTAAACGCCCTGGCGGCAAAACCGTCATACCTTTTTTCACGGGAAAGCCTTTAATGTGGGATTTTACCTGCATTGATCCCATGGCTCCATCCAATAATTTCCATGATCTCCTTAACAGAGCCGAATCTCTAAATATAAAATACTCACACCTAATGTGCGATAACCACTTTGTTCCAATAGTAGCTACTTCAACCTGCTCTTTTCAAGCGGCTTTGAATCTATTCAAAACAATATCCATATCAATAAAAAAATCATACCTTTCTCCATTTTACAAACTCAAGCATAAAATCGCCGTACCTATAATTAGATCTAATCATCAAATATTTAAAACATCATGGCCCGACCTCGCCATATGATATTTCTTTTATTTTAAAATGTTTTTTTTATCTTTCAATTTTTAAAAATATACATTTGTATTTTTTTTTAACTTTAAATTGATATATGACATAAAGGACTTATCGCGAATATTTAATTATAAATAAATTAGGATTTTAGATTATATTCTCTATATTTTAATGTAAATTTTTAAATAATTATATTTTATCATTTATATATGAATTTTAATAAAAAATTAAATTTAAAAAAAAGAAAAGATTAATTGATAAGCTAGAATTCACTTGTATCATCCACTGTAAGACACCTCTAAGATCGTAACGTACTGAATGAGATTTTATTTTAAAAGGATTGCAACATTAAACAGGAATTAAAGACATTTAAAATATAATTTTTTAAAATTAATAAATATATTTAATTTCTTAGAAAAAGGGCTATGTAAAATTAATCAATAGAAATGACGGCTGTTGCTGTTGATGCCATTATTTTATTTTAATTAGATATAAGTAGATTAATAATCTTTAAAACGAAAATATATTTCTGACGATCCAATAATTATCTGGCAATGAATAAACTTCTTCATTCACTTACAGAGTTGATATGTCAAAAAATCTCGAAGAAATTTAGGACGAATATAATTTCTTATAATTTATTACTTATATTGCCTCTAAATTAAGGCGTTTTGCATTATATTTAAAATAATACAATTTGGTAAATGTTGTTTTGAGTTTTTTAACATTTAAGAAATGATAATCAAATTTTTTAGAATTTTAGTTTTAATGCTAATTCATAAATATTGCATACTTTTTTTAAAAAATAATTACTCTAAATTTGGTATAATATAGGATTTAAGCCATACTACTTAAAGTGTGATAAGTATTGACCCAGTAGTAGTCCTAATCTTGAATTTTGTTCAAATATTAAGATATAATGTCTATATGTAAGAAAAATTTAAAAGAAAAAAAGAGCAATTTTTATTTTATAGCTATTTCCGGTTTTCTACTTTTGGTTTTTGGTAGTAGACTTTTTTTCAATAAAATAAATTTTATGTCATAATAAAGAGCTATTTAATATAATTTAAATGTCTTTAGCTTAATTACTTTTTGATATTTAAAATAAAATATAGTGTATTTTGGATTTTCCGCTTTTCTAAAGATAGCCATATCTCATGAAGTAAGATGAGTTGAGAATTAAAATTCTATATTTTTACTAGTTAGTGTATATACTACCATCATACAAATTTAAAAAAAAAATCGAAGGGGGTAGAATCTTCAGTTGATTTGATATGGAATACAACATATATAAAAAAAATTTATTTTTTAGAAACAATATATTTAATCATTAAAAATTATTGCTTAAACAAGTATGTATATATGATATAACAATTGTAAAATTTTTGTTTTTTGTTAAGTTTGCCATTTATTTTATGCCACCGGACTATGAAAAGTTGCATAATTTCCACTAATCAGCTGGTAATAAAATATCCTTGTACCTTTACAAAAATATATTAATTTCACACAAAATAAAATAGTAGTGCATATAGATTATCATAAGGTATTAAGAAATTTAGTGTGATCCAAAATTACATTTCCCAAAAAGTATGCCTTAAATTTTAACACACTTTTTATTTAAATTGATTTTTCCATTGATTTTTAAAAAATTTAAGTTGACTTTATATCTCAAGAAAAATTAAGGTAAGTTAAAAACGTAATAATGTTGGCTAAAAATAATTTAAACTCTTCTATACCCAATATTACAGACCCTAATAGCATTTAGAGTATATTAGTTACAGACTATTCTAATAAGCCTATGCTCAAAATTAGAACACGAACTTTTGAATTATTTTAGATATATTGGTAATACCCGTAATTACTGGTTACGAGAATAATGTTATTAATTAGTATATAATGGGGAGGCAAATAAATTGTCTATAGTCTAGCAAAATAATGAGTGTAGTAATCTTATTCTAATTTTATATCTAAATGGTCTTTTGTTTTATAATTTGATATTATCTGTTTGCAATATTGTTTTGAGACTACAAATATTTAAATTATCGTTAAATGTATAAGTTAATTTAATTTTCTCGTTGAAATAATATTCAAATGATTTTTATATCCAATTAATTTTTACCGAAAGATATATATATATACTTATAAATTGTGAAAAAGATTATTATTTTACCATGATTTATATAAATATCTTTAATTCTTATCTAATTGGATCCATGAAATTCCTACAATCATCAAAGGTGGCATATCGAAAAAAGATTTAGCGTGGTGGAGAAAGAACCTTTATAAGTTTGTATGCTCCAAATTATAAGCCAAACAATGCAGTTTGCTAGCTATTATTATTTGTCAGTACTAGATTAAATATTCTTAAAAATGGTTTTTTTCAAAATATGAAAATTTATTTAATGGAAATTCTTTTTTAGGAGTGTTTATATATTATAAAGCAACTGAGATTACTATTCCATATATAACGATATAAAAATCGAATTCATAATAGTATAATACCATTATATTGAAGTACATATGGGTTCATCTGTAATAATTTTATATTTTTTTTTTAGAATATTAATGATAGTAGAATAAAATAATGGGAAAGAAAGGAAAGGAAAAGAAACAATATTTTTGTACTTCTATAAGATGTTATTTTAACTTCCCCGTAGACTAAAATAATTAAGGAATTGATTGATATTCTTTATTGTACTATGAAACCTGGTATAATGAACTGTTCAATTCCTAATAAATAAATCATTATAAATTTGATATGGTATATTTATTTAGCAATTATGAAATGGAATATAGATAAGTTAACTTATTTTTCAGCATAATTTATTAGGGAAGAGATAATCTAGGGGAATAAATGTCAAATATGTTTAATCTTCTAAAAATAAATTAAAAGAGGACCATTAAAAGAGAGTTGAAAATTGGAGAATTTTTGATAAATTGAAGGAATATATAAATAAAAAGGTTTTTCTATATCTACACGATATAGAGGTATAAAGGAAAAATTGTAATAGTTTTAATAAAGGTGAACAGGGTGACGATTCAATTTATTTTCTATAAGGGAATGGAAATGGAAGTGATAGAAGCAATCTCTGATTCCTCATGAGTGATTGGAAACAAAGTCTAGCCAGGAATTTTATACATCATTGAATTATAACTTAAATCAAATATATATTTCTAAATGAGGAAATTAATTTTATTATTAAATACTTTTTATTGTTATTGTAACATAAATTGTTAATCAATTTAAGGAAAAAGTCTTTAACATTAGTTAGTACACCATGTTAGAATTTTACCATCATAAAACCTATATATTTAAAAAAACGTGCGGCATACATGGATTAATTTAAAATTTGCCATGATATACTATTAACAATTTTTATGATAATATATATACCTATAAATATCGTCAAAGTACCATTTGTACCCTCTAAATTTATTAAAATACATTGTAATAATTATATAAATCATAACTATGAATATATATATTTTTTTAAAGCTGACTCCCTATGTATGGACACTCTAATTCGTCAAATCGAGTAGTACACATTCATCATTGACAGTCATATAGTTTGCGTAACCACAAAATCTCAATTGGTATTTTATCAAGACCTGTACCACTTCTTATCCTTAATTTATATTGCAGTTATAAAAGTGTGTTCGTTCATATTTATAATGTATTACGATTTAATAAAACATAAATGAATAAAAACTTTGTTCTACGCTTTTACCACTCTTTGCCTATTATTTCAACCAGGGATCTATGTAGATCAAAATATTAGGCATAATTTTAAAAAATCTTTATTTAAAACCTGACAGTAAATCTTTAAAAACTCTCTATGTTTATTATTAAATTTTTTAATATAATGACCTAGAGAATTACTTTTATTATTAATGATGGAATAAAATGTTTTTTTTGTAATATTAATTGACCGAAAATTAAATCAATGAAAACTATATATGTTAAAAAATATATACAATATATATAATATATACCAAATCGCTCCTCTACTAAAATTTTGTAGTTATAACAATTCAAAGTTTAAATAAAACAAAATATATAACGACGCATTAATATATAAATGGTGCATGCTGTGTATGTAGAAATATTCTTTGGCGGAGGTAAAACCTTTTATTAGGATCTGCAGTGAAGTAATATATATTTTTTTGCTTTTTATTAATTAGTGAGTCTCATTTCAGTGGCGATTGTAAACTAATTGGAATTGAATGAATGTGTATAGATATAATAACATCAGGTTTAATGTCAACAAAAAAAACTCTCCAGAATTAAGAGTAGAGTGAAGGGCGATGTATCTGTTAATTTTGACATATAGACGTTAGCCATTTCAAAATATTGGGGTAAAAATCAGCATTCCAGCCACGACTGGTACAACATTGTTTAAAGGAAATATTGCTAAAAGCTATAAACAAGATTTTGAAAGAAAAATAAGTAAAAATTAATATATATTTTTTTAAATAACTATTATGATATAATAAATATTTTAGAAAAAAAGGCATTTATATAATAGAAAAGTTAAAAATAAAAATAATTTTAATAAAAAAACTAACTTTGCTAAAGGCTTACAATAATAGGATCCTAAAAACTCCAATAAAAATTATGAAGGAAAAACCATCCTAATAATGCTTCCCCTCCCTTTAGCAAAATCTTCATATGCTTATGGGTAAATAGTAATCAATCAGAGCTTCGTTCTAAATATTTACAAAATGCATTCTTATACGACTAATTTTATACTTATATTTCAAATTTACAAGCTTAGTTTGTCTGGGAAATCCTAAGCAGTATTTAAAGGATGCAATATATTTGTAAGTTAGAAGATTTGGTGATGCTTTGGGTTTAAATGATGTATTGAATTATGTGATGTATTTATTTCACTGAATATATCCACTAAACATCCATAAATATGCCTTCTCTGAATAATTGGTTCTCATGTCATTTTACCAGCGTCTACATGACAGGATTTTCACTGGATGCAAACCCCCTTTAAAGACCTTTACCTACCCCCCTAAAAAATCCCGCCCCCTTCGGCCGCGATATTTCCCCATTATTATTTTCACCTTTTTAATTATAATGATACTCTCTTCAGAGAATTTATAAAGGATAACTTATATCTCTACTACCAACTATCGATATTTTGTGAATATAAAAGATTTATTTTTTAGATAACAAATTCAATTAAATCCTCCATTATTTACAATGAATTCATTATTATAACTTTATGAGCTTGCTAAAATATCTAATTTTAAATGTAATTTAAAAGGATAGCAGAAAGTTTTATTTGGAAAACAATGTGTATGATTGTTTGCAATATATAGATTTGGTCGATGAATTGTATTATAATTGTATTATAATAGTTCTAAAATAAATTTATTAATTTTTACACCAATAAATTTTTTCCTATTTTATCTCAAAATTCAATAGATAACCCCCCCAAAAAATTTATCCTACCCCCATTAAAGCCGCCTACCCCCTCAAAAAAATAGGATGCAAACTGTTCCTACCCCTCCCGCTCATGTAGACACTTCATTTTACAAAAACGTATAAAGTTTTAATTGAATGCATAAAATATTTTTTTATTTATATTTATTTTCTTATTTCTTTCTTTCTTTCTTTCTTAAAAAAATATTTAATTTATTATTAAAAAGATTATTATACCTTTTGATCGTACCCCTATTATGAAGCATTTTAAAATTATATTTAATTTAATATAGTTTTTTTTATATATTTTAATATTTTACCTATTTCCAAGTTTGATAAACCAATAGAAACTGTTTTTTATATTAAAAAATTAAGACTCCATAATATACGCATTATGATTATGAAATGTCAAATCTAAGCTGACAATGTACAGAGTTTTCCAATTTAAAATAAAAAGGCAAACATCCTCTATTCAAAAAAAATTAAGGGTTTGATTCTCAAAAATGTATAAACTATATAAAAAATGAAGCAAAAAAAAAAGAAAAATATTTTTTTAAAAAGAGTAGAAATCATTATATTATCTCTATTCTATTCTAGTCTATTTCTATTAATTCAATTCTATTTTTTATATTATATATATATTTTCTTAAAATTAATAATGGTTTTGAGCTTTAGATAACATAACTATTATTATCAAAAATATATTTTAGTAATTATATTTTTAAATATTTGGGAGCGAGTAAATGAGTAGCGCCTGAGCAGCCATTTTTTAGTATTTTTTTTAAAAATTTTACAATCAAAAACTTTTGGTTCCAGTTGCTAGTAACTTACTGTAATTATATATTTATGTATCAGAAATCTTCCCAGTTCGAACCAAGTCAATTCATTTCTAACGACCTCACCCGCTAAGATGATTTCTACTATTGTGAAACATTATTATTGTCTTATACATGTATAATTTTTTCAAAAGACTTATAAATTATTTAGATTGATAATATAATATATGATATTTAAAAATAAATTGACTATATTTATTTTTTACATTGTGGTCTATTTCTTTGTACTATATATTATTGTATATTGAAAAAATTTTAAATGCTTATTTATTATTTCCTAAAATATTCATGTTATCCAGGTTGACAGTGAAGCTTCCAGATGTCAAATCTAATGCCATTCAAAATATATATTATGCATTGTTTGTTATTTGAGTATAATATAGTATATGTTAAGGAATTTAGAAAATTTAAGACTATGGCTATAGTCTCGTTTAAGCAAATTTTAAATCACCTATAAGCACATATTCCTATAGGTGTATTCTATCACATATATAGTAAAGGTTCACAATTTATGGCTAAAAACCCGCCCCAGACCTCTAGTATAGAATATACCTTGAGGAATAGGATAATTTCGTCATTAATGAATTTTATTATTTTTGTTAAAATTTATATTAATATTGAGTGATATCAGAATAAGTATTCTACTTATTTTGGAATACTATCCTAGAATTCGCGTTATAAATGATTTTAGTTCTATAGATTTGCTAACAGTTGTTAGCATTCTAGATTTGCTCAACCCTTTATGATAATGTTAATAAAATGTAAATTAATTTACTTAATCCCATCCACAAATTTGAATCTTGAGGTTATATATTTATCGAATATTGTGAATATATTATGATATTTAATTCTAATATTAATAGATGAATAGGTGAAGTGAGGAATAAATACCTATAGATTCAATGTAATAGTTTGGGTCATCTATGTAGTCTAATGAAAGATATGTAATAAAAAGATAATTTTTTAAAATTAATTTAACTCTTAAATATTATATATAGGTAAAAGGACTACCGTTAATAACATCTTGTACATAATCTGTCATTATTTATAATATTTATCATTTTATTATAAATAAAGCTAAATGTAACCCGTTATCGTATAAACTGTACTGCCATCTACGAAACAAGATATTATAGATAGCATGAAAAATTATGTTATATACTTTTTTTTAAATAAAAAAATTTACTTTCTTTGACGCAAGTTATATTAGCTAATTTAAATAATTTTATTTTGTCTATTTTTAAAGTATCTTACTTGGGACAGGCCTGCAAATGATCCATTTGTCTAGACAAGGTTTTATGATTATTTGAAACATGTTAATTGATTTTATGTTTACCTGTTGTAATATTGATTTTGTATTAAAAATAAACAAATTAATAAATAAAGTTTTATTTTGTACTTTATAAGCCAAAGCATGACCGAAAATGTCCGTTTTTTTATACAAATTGTGTATTTTTTCATAATAAAAAAATATAAACTTAGAGAAATTTTATATCAAACTCTTTCTTTGTCAACACCTTCAAGTAGTATTGTTAAATGGTTTGATTTGACTCAATTTTAGCCAGAAAAATATTCCAGTGTAATATTTATTTTTGGATAAATATTGAAGGTAATTTTAAAAGGCTGGTTAAAAGCCTTAGCATCATATGTAATTGGAATAATTATTATAACGTTCCATATTCAATACCGTTATATGAATATATATATACAGTTTGTCAGCAGAATATAACAATTTCTTTCTGTTGATTTCTCTAACATAAAGGGGTCTAAGCCCTAATTGTCAGCCATTTATTGTGTAAAAGAAGCATTAGAAGGAATAAGGAAAAACATCTGGGAGTGTTCCTAAAGATCATCAAAACGGAATCTTAAGAACTCTGAGATAAGGGGGAACGAAACCATTTGATTTTAAAGGAAATGTAACGGAACTAAAAACGATCTAGTTGGGGTCCCTGCAAAAAATTTATGTATCCTCACAAATATCGATAATTATATTATTTAGGCATAATAAATATGGTATTTACTTGAAGATTCCACAACTTATTTATATAATAATTGGAATAGGTTTTTAGTATAATTATTAATAAAAAAAATAAATGTATAAATGTTAGGTAGAATTAAATTACTTTCCATATTACAGCCAAATGCTATCAAAGCTGATAAAAATGATACATAATATTTATTCATATTTTTCAAAAGACAATATTCTTTTCAGCTATTAAAGTTAGTTATAAATTTAAATTTTAAGCCTTCAGAAAGTTTTAAACATATTTTATACTCTGGCTATAAATCGGTAAAATTGATTAATAAACACAATTTTATCTAACTTGGTAATTTTTCATTAAAAATTTGAATTCATTTAATTTAATTTAAAAATCTATTCAACAATAATGTTATCTGCAGTTGTCAAGGTTATAAATATAATTTTTTTTGGTAAATAATTATAAGAGATATGAATTTTATCAATGTATATTTTAATTTTTATAATTTATATAAAATTAATTCTGCATAATTATTTATTTGAATTTTATTTTTTGCTAAAAGAAGTTTTGATAAAGAGGGCAACTGTCTAAGTTGGCCAAAATTTATGGTCCAAAAGGTGCCCCACATAGATAGGTTTGAATCTTTTGGCAATATATTTTAATTTTTATAAATAACTTTCTTAATAGCTACATATAATATAGATATAAGTGGATTTTATAGGAAATTCTCATATATATAAACTATTAATAAATAAATAAAAACTGTAAATTCTTTGAAAACGCAAAAATTCACCTCTAATTTTTTGGATTTTTAACCTTCCCCCCTTTCTCTATTTTTAGAGTAATATGCCTCTGCTCAAATTTTTACGAATACAGCACTGAATATGATAAATATTTTACATTTATATATTACAATTTCTAATTGTTTTTTTTATCTTATAATGCAATTTATTATGTATAAATTATAATTGTTTACAGATAAACTTTATGGAATAATAAAAAATATTTATTTATTGATAAAATTTATCAATTCCCTTTAAATAATTATAATATTTGGTTAAAAAAATGAATGTAAAACAGTTAATGTTTTATAGATATATATATATTTTTAAAAAACCCATAATATATAATATAAAAATTCAAATGTAATCATTACAAATTATTGCTTAAAACAAGTATATTATGATATCATATAACAATGTAAAGTTGTTTTTTTTAAAGTTTGCCAAATATATTATATTTAAGAACTATATAAATACATTAATTTAACATAAAATTAAATAAGTAGTATATAGATTATCGTAAGGCATAAAGGAATTTAGTGTAATCCAAAATTACATGTTATAAAAATTATGCCTTTAAATTATATACCAATTTTTAATATAATTCTCAAAGATTTTTATATAAAATAAAAGTTAACTTCAAATCTCATAGAAAATGTATCCAATATTTCATAAGGTAAATAATACAAATTAAGTCATTAGAATGTATTAATATTCACTAAAAAAATGATTTACACTCTATACCTTATATTCTTACAGACCCTAATACCATATACACTATATAAGTTACAGACAATTCTAATAAGCCTAAGCCTCACAATTTGGAAATACTTTTGTAGTATTTCAGATTTATATATTGGCAATACCCGTATTTACTGATTAAGAGAATAATGTTATTAATTAGTATATAATGGGGAGGCAACCAAATTGTTTTGTATTTAATTTGTTAATCGGGTAATTTTTATTTACCAAGGTTAAGTAAACTTGTCATTTTAACTATTCAGATTAATTCTGAAAAACCCACAGCTTTATCACCTTCATAGATATGGTTAATAATTTAATTACTTGCAAATCCATTCGCTTTATAAAGAAATATTTCTCTTGAAAGGATAATTAGATCAGGCCCATCTTTTATACTAGGATTTTAAGTCTAGCTAAGTAGTGTTAAAGGCTCAATCTTTTACGCAGAAAATTTTTTACCCTAAGCCTCAGTGGCGTAGCTAGGAATTTTTCTTAGAGGGGGTCCATACATATAAAATCGCATGAATAATATGTTATTATAATTTAGTAGATTATTCTCAATGACCTTAATAATACTACCCAGAATAATTTCAATAGTAATATAATATCCATCCACAAACATCAAAACCAAATGGTATTTATTTAATATAAGGTCACTTTTAAGTCTTTTGAACATATAATCTAAAAAAAAATTTGCTCTGGGAGGGGTCCAAACCCGAAAACCACCCCCGTAGCTACGCCACTGCTAAGCCTCGAGATTTCACTAATCGATATTTAAACCTTTGTGCCATTGACGAGTAAAATTTTTAGGCCTGCATATAATGAGTTAGCCGTATTTTAAAAATCGACATAAATTCAGCTGTTTAATAACAATCCACGGAGGAAGTAACTACTTTCACAGATATAATTATTTTTGTAAATTATTTTAGTTTCTAAATTATCTTTTACTAGCAGTTGGTGCAAACATTTAAAATAAATATCTATATACGTTCGTTAAAGTTATACTCTCATATTTTTGTTAACTACCTTTAGGACTTATTTTTATGTCTAGTTTTTCAGTTTCCGCAAAATCCACACAACTTGCTTTTATTTAGTAGAAATTTGATTTTTTTTATAGTTATATTGATAGTGTTAATTATATTTAAATTAATAAGACCGTTAAATTTCTCATTTTAACGTGGGATGCAGTGGCGTAGTTAGGAATTTTCCTTAGAGGGGGTCTATACATAAAAAACACTGGGAGAGAGGCTTCAATCCCTACCCAGAGCCCCCCTTCCCCCACCCAAAATTTGGTCGGGTTTATCTTAAAAATCATAGCCATATCTTCTTAAAAATCATAGCCATATCTTCGATAATATATAATAATATATTTTTTAAATGCATTAATAATATGTTATTATAATTTAGTAGATTATTCTCAATGACTTAATAATAATACTATACAGAATATTTCAATAGTAATATAATATCCTTCCACCAACATCAAAACCAGAATAATATAGATATTCATTGTATTTATTTAATAGTCACTTTTGAGTCTTTTGATAATCTTTAAAAAAATTTGGTCTGGAGGGGGGCGGAAACCCCCTCATAGTTAGGCCACAGGTGGGCTGTTATATTTTATATTATATTAATGAATCTATATTAGTTTAGTATTATAATGATTGCAGCAATATTATTCCACTTTATATCTTAATGGTCTTTTGGTTATAGATTTTATATGATATGCTTATATACTGTTTTGCAGATCTAAAATCAAATATTTAAATTATCGTTAAATGTAAAAATTAATTTTTTTTCACGTCGAAATAATATAATGTTTTTTGTTTTTTACAAAAATTTATATATGCATACTTATAAATTGTAAAAAAACAACATTATTTCACTACCACACTTACATAAATGACTTTAATTCTTGTCTAATTCGATCCTTAAAATTCCCTACAATGAACCAAAGGTGGCATATAGAAAAAAAGATTTAACGTTGTGGAGAAAGAACAATCATCAAGCGTAAAGTTTCATTATGAAAAATGTGAAATGTTAAAAAAAACGGACTATTATTTAATTTTTATGTTTGCCAAAAAACACACTTTTTATTATTAGGCATATTATATAAGCAACTGAGCCAACTATTTCATATCTAATGATATAAAAATCAAATACATGAATGTATAATATTTACCATTATATTCAAGTATATATGGTTCATCTGTAAATAATTATATATATTTTATAAAATAAAATATTGGGAAAGAAAGGAAAAGAAAAAAAAAATAAATTTAACAATATTTTTGTTACCTCTATAAAATGTTATCTTAACTTTCCCAAAAGACTAAAATAATTAGGAATTTGATTGATACTCTTTATTTTTACTATGAAACCTGGTATACTGAACTGATTTATTCCTTAATAAAAAAAAATTATTACAAATTTGCGATATAATTTTTCAATTATGTATTGGAATACAGACATGACTTAGTTGGTGACCATTCTTTGAATTCGCCAATATATCTATGCAGGTATAATCCCAAATAGTGTTGTTAAAACGCCGCGAGTCGCGACCCCGACCCAAAGCTCGGGTCGTTTTATTCGACTCCAACTCAATGTTTGGGTCGTTTTTTTCGACTTCGACCCGAGTTCAAGCCGAAAAAAACGACTTCGACCCTAAATATGGGTCGTTTTTTTCGACTCCGAACCAAGTCCAAGCCGAAAAAAACGACCTCGACTCAAAATATGGGTCGTTTTTTACGACTCCGACTTAAAATTTGGGTCGTATTTTTCGACTCAAACTTGAAATTTGGGTCGTATTTTTCGACTTAAACTTGAAGTTTGGGTCATATTTTTAGACTCAAACTTGAAGTTTGGGTCGTATTTTTCGACTAAAACTTGAAGTTTGGGTCGTATTTTTCGACTAAAACTTGAAGTTTGGGTCGTATTTTTCGACTCAAACTTGAAGTTTGGGTCGTATATTTCGACTCCAACTCAGAGTTTGGGTCGTTTTTCTGACTCAGACTCAAACATCGGGTCGTTTTATTCAATCCGACCCAAAATATGGATCTTTCTTTTTAAAGACTACTTAAAGTTAGGGTTGCTTTTTTTCACCCCTAACCCAATATCTAAATCATTTTTTTCGACCAAAAGTCAAATAACATTTAGTATATATTAATATTATAGGCGGGAAAGTTACTTAAAGCTTCTTTAAATTATAATGCTCTGGATTAACTATTCATCATAGTTATATTTTATAATTTTTAAGTGATGTACCATAGAAAAGTGCCATTTGTCATGATAATTATTTTTGAACTTTTTTAAATGAAATAGATAAAAATATATATTGTAGACATGTTAAATCAAAATTTCAGTGATGATGTACCATAGATAAGTGGTAATTGTCATAATCGCTATTTTTGAACTTTTTTGACTTTTTTTAAAGCAAATTGCTAAAAATATATATTCTAAACATGTTAAATTAAAAATTCAGTGAGGATGTATCATAGATAGGTGACAATTGTCATAATCGCTATTTTTGAACTTTTTCAAATTTTTTTAAAGGAAACATCTTAAAATATATATTCTAAACATGTTAAATTTAAAATTCAGTGAGGATGTATCATATATAGATGACAATTGTCATAATCGCTATTTTTGAACTTTTTCAAATTTTTTTAAAGGAAATATCTAAAAATATATATTCTAAACATGTTAAATTAAAAATTCAGTGA